TGGAGATAGAGCAAGATTCATAGTAATACTTCCCACTCTTTTTGTAGACTCAAGATCTGCCTGTGGTGTTTTAATTGTAAACGTGATAGATCAATTTAGCTCATTTCCTCCTATATCTGAAACAAGACCTTGAATGTTTTTCAAACAGTAATAAATTCTTAAGCACAGTAGTAAGTAGAACAGATACTAGACTTAAGGAAAGGTACAAAATAAAAATTACCACTGTTCACTGTCTTTTTTAAAAAAAACCCCAAACAAACCAAAACAAAAACAAACAAAAACCCCACAAAACAACAAAAAAAAAAACCACCAAAACAAAACTAATTTAATGTGTGGTGGATACCATCTACTAATGTTTCTTTTGTCCAGTGATTCCTAATGTTTCAGAGTTAGATGTGATGTGCTTTTCTCAGGAGATCAGTGAGTCATTCTTTGTCTGGAACTTCTCAGAAGCTGTGATCTTCACTTCCAGAGGATAGAGGTTTTTTGTTTGTTTTGATTTGGTACAAAAAAAAGCCTTCTGTAAATTGAGGTCTGGCAGCACAAATACGTTTGCAGCTGTGGTAGCCAGAAACATAAATGTGCATATTTTTTAGCTGTTATTGTAAGAAACTTCAGTTTCTATTTAAATAAATAAAGTGCAAATTCAAGTCTTCCAAGAGCTGTGGTGACCTTCAAAATACACTTTCTGAATGATCCTGATAGTATAGATTGTATTGCTCCAAAGATGTATGGTAAAACTGGCAAAAGCCACATGATTTAGGGAGACCATTCCATATTCCAGAAGTGATTTGTAGACCCTTAAAATGCTGGGGAGCTTCTCTGTGAGGCATATTCATACCATTATTAGGAAGAATATGAGTTTTAAAAGCTTTCATTTTACTGGTACTTAGTGTCAGCTCTAAGCAGCAAATGGAGAACAAAGGTGGGAAATGTAAAGAATAGAATGAAGGGCATATACATATGAAAGTCTCATTTTTAGCCAGTTTTACCTATAACTAGATTGGATCAGACACTGCTTTGCAGTGCCCAAGTTCTGACTCTCCAATGTTTCTTCACTCTGCTGTTTGTGCAGGCTTCCTCTGGAGCGGGAGATACATCTCAGGAGCCTGGAACAGGCAACTGGAGAGGAATGCTGAAATCCTCAAAAGCAGAAGAGGTATCAGCAGAGGAAAAATCCAAGCCAGCTGCAGCCCTTCCTGCTAGTCCTCAAAAAGGACATGCTGTAAACCTATTAGATGTGGTGAGTCGTGAAAGACAAATACCTCCTTTTCATAATTCAGGTTCAGGAAATAAAACATCTGAATTCCAGGTCTTGTAACTTTGCTGCTAATGTATGGTATCTTTGTAAATAATTACCACTATAGGGACAGGAAGCTCTAGCCAGTCTCTTAGAATCATAGAATCATAGAATAGAT